GTACATTTTCCCTTTGGAAGTATGATGGGGAATTTTTGTAAACCTAGGCAAGCTTTAACGTTCAATTACATTGATTTTCTTCGTATTAAAAATTAGAATGCTGAACCACGCATTTTCTCCAAGACTAATTCTCCAGAAGTGGTCCCTTTTTTCAATATTAAATGTTTCGCGAATTTAATGTAGTAATTGATGAATAATTTTTTTAATTCTGACAAAACTACTTGCACATATTTTTTCCAACCGCTCTTCTTCGAATTTCATCAGTATGCAATAACTGCGTACTACCATAACTAACTGCGACATACTGACTCAACTTTATTCCTCTGAGTGTCTGCCACTTAAATATCACTGGAGCTTCTGTGATGGAAAAGTCAACCTGCATAAATACTTCCTCCACACTTGTCTTCAGTACCATTTGTTCATTCGGCACAATTCAACCCAAATCACGAGCCCACCTACACGAAGAAGATTCTCCACATAGTCACACCAGGTATTACTGATCATTTAACTCATTCTTAGTGTTCGTTTTGTTCGGTATCTAATAAACAAGCAATTAAGTTTTTTATTTACGTAACTAGCAGTTTCTGTGTCACTGGTTTTCATGCTGTAGATGACACAGTTGAGCATAGATACCGTACCCTTCTTTTAATATTGATAACATGGAGATACGAGCAAGTTCTCCCGCCGATATGTAGTCTACAGATTGTTTGTTGCTATCATTTGTCCCGGTAATGATGTGTAGAATGTGGGTTTATGGAACCAATTGGCTTCAAAATTATCTTTAAAATAATCTTGTATCACTTTGTGTTTAAAATCAATAATGACCATGCACTCTAAATATTGCAAGCGATGTTATTTACTGGACTTAGTATCCCAAAAGATCATATGCTATTTTATTGGGAGTGCTTGTGAAATGTCGACATGCCTTGTCCACACCCACCACTTAAATGTCACCCATCCCACCTACAATTTGAGTTAAATTATTCTTGCCTTCACCTTTTCAGGAATCACTTTCAATAGATAAAAATAATTGAGCAGTGTACCCTAACAAAATTTAGAGTCGCCCCAGCTTCTGGTAATCCGAATCAGAAGCTGCCGCGTCTGTAAAATTAGAGTCGCCCCAGCTTCTGGTAATCCGAATCAGAAGCTGCCGCGTCTGTAAATTTAGAGTCGCCCCAGCTTCTGGTAATCTAAATCAGAAGCTGCCCCGTCTGTAAATTTTCACTGGGTATGAACACTACTGGACACCTATAGTGATGCATAACACTTTGTAATTTTTGAGGAATAAGTAGCTCACACTACTACTGTTGTTGTACTGTGTCGGTGTTGAGACATGAATATATTCCACTTATTATATAAATTTTAATCTGCCTATGGTAGTTCGTTGGAATCTAATTGAAGATTTATGCCCATGGTCTGTAATTATTTGTTCAAAGCATTTCTTGGTTAGGATAGGTATTAGGCATACTGATGCCTTCTCATTCTGAATTCTCGGTTCTTCTATTGGCCAATTTAATTGTTTTCTACTGTTCCGATTTGTTGAACTTCAAACCAAAATGTCACGTAAAGAAAAAAATGTTCAATCAGTATCATATTTACAAAAATATACGAGTTTTTCTTCGGCATCAACTATAAATTTACAAGTCCAAATTTCTAATTCCAGATTATTTCTTTCAAACCTTCAATTCAATATTTTGGAACGAACATGCCGAACCTCTTCTAGAGAATAGGTAGAGAGTTTTTTTTAGCAAAAAAAAAAGAATTTAAATTATATTTCTTCGTCGTTGTGCGAAGAATAGTGATGCAGCCGTTCCTGAATTTATTGTATATTCATTAATAGAATAACTAATATTGAATATTTGAAAATTTTTAAAATATTTTCGTAATTTTCAAAAATTGAGAAAGTCTTGCTAGGTTTTCTCGAATAAGTAAATCAATACATCCGATGAAAAAAAGATCAAACCAATCCATTTGGTTAATCTGATGAAATTAAAGTAAAGATATGTGCATTCATATCTCTTTCAACAAGGGCATATCAATATTATCGATAAGCCAATGGCATCTAGAAACAATTCGTCTTCAACATTCGTCGCATCATTAATCACCGATCAAATTTTACATCATTTTCGATCATGAAATCTGGGATTTGACATCAGCTAATTTCACCACCTACTGAACCATTCAATTTAAAATATTTTGTTAATGGCAAAGATTCCTGCAAGCACTTTTTCTCTTAAAAATTCTTCACTCGATAATCTAATTGCGTGCCACTAAATAATCGAATGATTACTGCATGTCATATAACATCACCACAGCAAAACCACGACTATAAAAATATTTGTTATTGATATGCACCACCGTTGTCATTTAAGGCACGCATATCTCCACAAATAATAGTCAAAATCTCCTTGAAAATACCAGTTACGATCAACTTGAAACATTTACTGGAAATAAGACTAAAAAAATATTTGTTATTGATATGCATAACCGGTGTCATTTACGGCACACAAATCACCACAATCAATAGTCAAAATCTCCTTGAAATACCAGTTACGATCAACTTGAAACATTTACTGGAAAATAAGACTAGAAAAATCTTCTCGGGTACACTCACTACCACAAGCACCACTCACTCATTCCCCCGCTACCACCACATGTACAGTCTACGATGGTCCTCATCGACCTGGTACTGTGGTACTGTAAACGTGTCTAGCACCGACACTCTGCTCATGTTCTGGTAATGGTATCCCTCTTATATCTTAACATTTATAACATGAATTTAAACGTTTCTCTTTAGGAGTAATTTCTTCTCTTTCTAAGGCATGCTCTAATCTTGATTCCTTTATAATAGAGTACATTTACCTTTAACTGCTCTGCATGTTGACTTCTTGATGTTTTCTACCTATGTTAAAAGCAGCCGTGTGCTCTGAAGATAGATTGTAGCAATCAGTCATTTCGATCCTTTATAAAACACATGAGGATTAATTAGTATTTACCAATAAACCTGTTGTTCTTTGTAATCGGCTTTACATCGGTGTTACAATATGTGTACGTTTGTCCGTTTTTCAAGACAGCTTACTTTTCTTGCTTCTGTATATAAAGCAATTGTTTGTGCTAAGCTATGTGTGGTTTTAAATAAGTAGTGCTTATTCTATTTGGGGTTTACACAAATGTGTATATAGCAAGCAATACGTGATGGATAACTATGCAAGGCATGGGTTGAGTCAAACAGCATCGGTACGTAAGGGATAATTATTTAAATTTGTGATAATCACTCTATAAATTTTCGAGTTCCTATTGATTTGTGATTTTAGATTTCAGGAACTGTACAATCTACGGAAAATTTTAGTTAGAATTCAATATGTTATTTTTTATATTACTTCTGTCATTGAAACCATTTTAATGCCCACATATATCATTCATATCACCTCATATCACAACAGAATAATCTCGTTATTAGTAATTTGAACCTATAAAAATACCAATGAAAGAACCTATAACGAGGACCATCACCTTAGCTTGTTCCTAGATTGCACACAAATGCCTCAAAATACGAATAGCTTCTACCTATTATGTACCTATTCAAGTTCAGTAGTTCCCCATTTCCCACGACCAAGTTCTCTTACTAATTACATCCATAATTACAGTAGCGCAAAAAATTATGCGTTCAGTATTGTCTCTCATCTCTTCGATTCATTATTTAAATCGCATACCAGGTAATAATTCGTTATAAAATTTAATTTACCGTCGATGTTACCGGAATTTCTGATTTCTAGAAAAAGTAAGCTACTTATCCCAGTTAAGAGTTGGAACTAAGAAAAAATGAACTGAGCCCTGTTAGAAAAATTACCGTTAACGGTATTACCGGCGTTCCAGTGGCCGGTCGGCACGTGAAAAGAAACACCGTGTCGCCGTTTTTATTCTAATTTAACACTAGAAATCCGTAAAACATCTGATAAAAAACGGCGAAGCAGTTTATTTTCACGGGGCGACCAGCCACTAGAACGCCAGTGGGACCGTTTTTCACCGTTTTTTCTAACAAACCGTTAGAAAACTGTTTTATTCTTTTTTTGAGTGGACAAAGAAATAATTTGAGTATGACTGGTCGCTGGAAATCCTTAAATTGATCGCGTGAGAGGTCCAGCCTCGCCCCAGTGTCATGACGAATTTTTTGCGTGCCCCCAATTACCCATCACGCAATCTTGCCGAGATTCCTAAAATGGCTCAGGCATGACGTATAGAAGAGAACTATCCCTAAACTTTTCTGAAGTAATTCTCCCGTTTGATACTGAAAGAGAAATACCAGTAAGTCAGTTCTGATATAGCTTGTCCAGTTGTTAGGAAAATATGTTCCTCTTTGTCTTTTTTCAATTGATTCATCCATTGGTTAGAAGCATCCCCCTAGATATTGTCCACTAATTCTGACTGGTCTTGTTTCAATGACAAAAGTAAAATACTAGTATTATATTACAGCCGAAGTATTTATATTTTGTTAGGTTTTACATTCAAACTATCGGGCGGTTTGTAATGCCGGTATTCAACAACAACATCACAACCAACATTCATTTGCGCATAGATTTGGTTTAAACAACTTTCCTAGTTGAAAAAATACGATGGAATTAGCCTTCTTAGTTAGTTCAGGTTTCATGTACTTACTAAATGACTTGGGAAACGAAGGCTCAAGCCTGGGTTATGACTTGGTCAACATAGTTGGCTCAAGCCAACAACTTGGTCATTGTTTCATTGTTGTGGCATTGGGTTCAAGCCAGGGGTAGTGGCATAGGGTTCAAGCCATGGGTAGTGCCATTGGGTTCAAGCCATGGGTAGTGGCATTGGGTTCAAGCCAGGGGTAGCGGCATTGGGTTCAAGCCAGGGGTAGTGGCATTGGGTTGAAGCAAGGGTTCACTCTGACATGTATTACCTGCTATGCAGTTGATGGGGTAGTATCGTGACAATTTTCCACTTCCCAGTGTTTCTGACAAATTTCGGGTTTCCTACAGTTGCGGTACATGCAGACTTTGAGCGCCATCAGTGCTGAGAAGAACTCTACCATCATCTTCCCGCTGCCCATAGACATACTCTCCCACTGCCTAACTTCCACCAACGTCGACCACCCAGTCTTGAAGCAAATCAAATCTTTCTCCGAGGATGAATACCAAATGGAAGAGGATGATGAATGATTAATATAAATTGGAAGCTAATCATGGATAGATGTCTAAATTATGCGCTGGCTTCACATAAGTTCCGTTGCTGGTATCTTGACTTGATTTAGACGTGTTTTGATTTGCTGAGGATTGTGTTTGGCTTTAAATTTTGGTGAAGTAGGTCGTCTTCTCCCCTATGTTGTATTTATGGAGGGTACGATAACTAAATGACTATGATATTAAACTAAAAATTCGAATTTTGGTATATTATGAATGTTAGTTATCCAAAAGAATGAATTCAAAATAGCTAGTGATCTAATCATAAATTCAGCAGGGGAGTCTTTTAGTAAGCACTGTTATTACTCGACTGCTATGTTAGCATTTAACATTTATCTTTGATTTAGGCTTGTTATGACAGCATAGATTATAATTATTACTACTTACTAATTATTACTATCTCATTATTATTAAATGCTTATCTACAGCTAGTTGCACGCAGGGGTAGTGTCAGTTTAGGTTATTTGCTCCGCCTTAGTTGTTATAGCGGAACTTGTTACTCTACAACTTATACCTGCGATAACTTGACCAAAATTACCCAATGTGAACCAAAAGTGGTGACAATCAGGGAAGTACTTAGGGTACTGATGCATGTTTTTGACCTATACGTACTTCTCAACGTTATATGTACCTTGTAAGTTACAGGTACCAAGTCATGAAGTGAACAAGTGCCACTTGGTACCAGAGATGAAGGGCACATTTCGACACCGCATCGAGACAAGAGAAGTGGTCTCATCTTGGAGTCTGTGGCATGTTAGAGTGTAATGACGTCCTTTGTTCAGTCTTAAAATGCCTAGCAACTTACGGACCAGGCAATAAGTCCAGCAGCTATGCAGGAGCATATGTTCAGTCTTAAAATGCCTAGCAAATTATGGACCAGGCAATAAGTCCAGACGAAGCTATGCAGGAGCATATGTTCAGTCTTAAAATGCCTAGCAAATTATGGACCAGGCAATAATCCAGCAGCTATCTCAATCAATCGTCAGTTATGGAAAGATCGGGTTCCAAAGGCCGGATCCCTTGTGAATCAAGTCACGAAAAGTTCAAGAATCGGCAACAGGCCATGGGCCTATTTCTGCAATGCCAAACACTTCTATTCATTAAGAGTTGAATAGACTTTTCCATCCATTGAAATATGATATGAGGGGATGATATTAAAAATTATCTCCGTAAATGCTAAGATCAGATTTTGTTCACTGGAAGTAACCAATGCATGTGATTTTTTCATGCCCCAGAAGTTCCAAGAAATGTCTGAGACCACTTCTCTTGCTTCAGTGCCGTGGGTTCTCTTGTGTTCAACACAAACTGATACAATCAAAGATTTAGCGCAGATGATCAACATGAAGTTTGGTAGAACATCTTCCTACAATTAGGATCGCGCATAATTGATCTAGTTTCAATTAGGGACCACATCGTCATTGAATTGAAAATAATTATTGTTTGAGATAAATGTTCTGGGATCAATCACGTGGCATCCTTAATCAAGATTTAGTTTAGGCCACCAAATTAAATAAAGTAGCGTCGATGTTGATTAAATTAGCAATACTGCGTAAGGTGACACATATTGCAAAATAATATCATCATTAGACAAATCAATTTCCGAATTTTCAGTTTAGCGAGCCTGGCTTTAGATGAAATTAGCAACCTATAATACAAGTGCATAATGCTCTATTTAGCGTCGAATGTCGATACCAGCGTGAATTAGCCTTGACTGCAGCAGTTAGATGCAGTCTCTCGCATTTAGCAGCTGCATTTGTCCGTAAAAGATCTCCAAGTTTCATTTATATATTTCCTCCTGTCTTAGATCCTTCATCAATTCCAAACTGTTTCACCTGTGTCATCGAAATGATAATCATACTCTTTCTAACGAGAGGAACATGTAAAAAATTACTCTTCTACACGTAGGTTGCAGTAGCATGGAATTTCGTGACCAGTTTTAGCAAGTTGCATTCTCAGCGTAGAGTTCGTTGCTGTATAACCAAGAACTGTTATGGTAGCTAGGATACTCGCTGATAATTTTGAGTAGTAGAGGAAAGTGAAGTAAGGCATGTAAGGTCCAAAGGTTAACTAATCCTAACGCAAACTAAAGCTTTAATAAGACACCTGGATTTCAGTTGGAACTCAGCTTACACCGATCAATGAATATATATATATATTAAATATTTTATATACTTGAATTCCTCCAATTCATCACCTGTACTATCTTCCAAAAAGACTACATTTACCATCAGCAGCTTACACCGATTAATGTATAATATCTTAATATTTTGTATACTCGAATTGCCCCAATCCATCACTCTCACCATTTTCCAAAAAAATATATCTCGGTACTCACTGCAGTGAGTGACAGAGAGCGCATTTTCTGTCACGTGAAGTCACGGACGGACGGACGGACATGACGAGCACAATAACGCCTTTTTTCCATAAATGAGAAAATGCGCTAAAAATGCTACACTTACGCGTGTCGCAGATGTGTTGATGTATCCAGTTGTTCTATTTTTTGTTGCGTCATCCAGGAAATATTTTTTTCAATTGTAATCCTTCTTTCTCAGGAAAATCAATAGATTATTACCGTTTTCGTAAAGAGATTCAATCGATGAGCTTGTAACTAATCAAATAGACAAAACATATTCACTGAGACACATAATACGCTATGACTTTATTGTAAGGTGAGCCCACCGAATCCCTCACAAAAATCAAACTTTTGCAACTGAACCTCTTGGTTACACTTGAAGGGAACAATGCTTCAATGTCCGTCTTACTGAACCCAAGTCGTCTCTATGTTGTCCTTACTGCTGTCGCCATGTAACCTATACTTTATAAAAAGTTAAGAGATCGTAAGTTCATCAGCCAATCATTGACGGCTTTCAAGCAAAATCCACCAATCATAGACAAGAAAATAGAGCATAAGTACTTACGTTCACTTAGCGAGTTATGTAAGTATGGGCCCCTGCTCACCGGCAACAGCTAAACGTAGTTCAGGTGAAAAATGTTCGGTTCCATCCACGCAACTAGCTGAACGCTTTCAAAATATTTCAAATCCAATGTATAGTTTAATATGAGTTTTAAAATCCACTAAATTGCTATTTAAGATAAATTTTAAAGATGATTCCAGATGAGCTTTAAATTTTCACTTAAAGAAATTAAATTTCCCTAAGGTACTATTAAAAATGAGCTTCGAAGATGATTCAAGATGAGCTTTAAATGTTACTTAAAACTATCTAAGTTCATAAAATTACTATATAAAATGAGCTTTAGAGATGATTCCAGATGAGCTTCAAAATGTCACTAAATTACTATTTTATTGGTCGAGGGAAGTATTACTGTTAAAGTTTCGCCTGTTCACAAGTATGGGCTAAATATTGTTCCCTCTGCACGTAAGATTAAGGCTCATGAGCGGCAGCAGCAAGGGGCACGTAAAGTCGTGGCAAGTAGTCGCTTAGTTACCAATTATTATTATATATATATAATTTGCATGTGTGTTATTGTTATTATTATCTATGATTAAATAATCTAGATACTCTATCTCATGGTTAGGATGTCCAATGAATTTCCATTCTCTATTTACAATAGGGATTTCCATTTAATGGAATCTGCGTAGTTTTAAGGTCTTGTCTTTGTCATGAAGCAACTCTTGTCTTCACAAGGTGGTGTCTCAAGACACAATGTGGTGTCTCAAGACGCATGACTCAGCCCTCTCTTGGATATGCAATGAATACATATTTAGATGTGCACATTAGCTGTCTTCGCTGATGAAAATATTGGATTGTTATAAAAGGTTCATATTGATTTACGGACTCCAGAATCCAGATTCGTTTTTAAAAATTAAAATTGCGAAACATAATTTAGAAAAAAAAAATAAAACAGCTTGGCTGTTTTCAATAGTGGCTCTTTGCAAAACCTCGATGAAATTTTTGCGTTTTTACCTTTGCGGGTTGTAAAATTTCCAAAGTATCCAATTTTCTATGTTATTCAAGTTCCAATACAAGTTCCCGCGTATCTATGGACCAATGAGGAAGCTGTATATGTGTCTTCAGACAACACAAGTATGCTCTGTCTCTAGCAAAATTTAGAGTCGCCCCTGCTTCTGGTAATCAGAAGCTGCCACGTCTGTAAATTTAGAGTCGCCCCAGCTTCTGGTAATCAGAAGCTGCCGCGTCTGTAAATTTAGAGTCGCCCCAGCTTCTGGTAATCAGAAGCTGCCACGTCTGTAAATTTAGAATCGCCCCAGCTTCTGGTAATCAGAAGCTGTTCTGTAAATTTAGAGTCGCCCCAGCTTCTGGTAATCAGAAGCTGCCACGTCTGTAAATTTAGAGTCGCCCCAGCTTCTGGTAATCAGAAGCTGCCGCGTCTGTAAATTTTCACCGGGGTGTAGATCTGTTCAGCGCGCTCTTTTGCTGAGTGGAGCATAGATGTCAGGTGCAGTTGTTGGCTTTACAGCAATAGTTGTGCTATTTAAACTCAAAATGTTGCTGCAAAGAAACAAATAGTTGTAATATTGACCCTGTAATTATTAACTCTTACTATCAAACTAGTCTGCCTCTAAATCAGTGATTAAGAAGCTGAATGCTTTATTAATAATAATATTACATTGCTGGTGAAGATTATTACAATATTTATTTACATTTAAAAAGGCTCTTTGTTATTCAGGAGGTAGAGGTTTGTTATTCAAGTAGGGTTCGGGATGGTAGAGCCGTGGAGTGAAAACATTCTGGTACGAGAAAAATGACTTCAGTTTCCGTTGGGTACAAGATTTATCTTTCCTGTATTTTGGAATGGATTCATCCGTCCTGGAATGGATTCATCTTTCCTGTATTTTTCATGATGTTTCACTCCCCAACTCATCCCTCGAACCCTAAGAAGTACCAAACTGCTCTCTCCTCGGGTCACAGGAGTGCCACCTGCCCTAACAAAATTTGGAGTCGCCCCAGCTTCTGGAAATCCAAATCAGAAGCTGCCGCGTCTGTAAATTTAGAGTCGCCCCAGCTTCTGGTAATGCAAATCAGAAGCTGCCACGTCTGTAAATTTCCACTGGGTACCTATCCCTTAAACGCAGGAGCACCAACCTATTCTCGCCTGCACAGAGTACTTATTTGGTACTCTACAAACGCAGAGGTACCAACCGCAAGCCCTCCATCTGCTTGTGCAGGGGTAACTCTTCTATTGACTGCTTGTGTACATACACTGCCACTTTCTTTACTCAAATATAGTATTTGCCGTCGTGAGTGCATCGCTTATTGATGAAAATTCATTAATAGGGTAACTCTACAAGTTACCCTAGTTTTCTGGTTACTTTCTATTGACTTATTGATGAAAATTTATTAAAGGGTAACTCTACTAGCACCTACTTTACTGGTTAATCTCTATGGACTTATTGATGCAAATTTATTATTAGGGTAGCGCTACTTGTTACCCTAGTTATAGGTTATTCTATATTGACTTATTGATGAAAATTTATTAATAGGGTAACTCTAAAAGTTACCCTAGTTTACTAGGTATTATCTATTGAGTTATTGATGAAATTTTGTTACATTCCGTGGGTAAATCGACTAGTTACCCTAGTTTACTGGTTATTCTCCTCTGACTTATTGATGAAAATTCATTAATAAGGTAACTCGAATAGTTACCCTAATTTACTGGTTATTCTTTATTGACTTATTGATGCAAATTAAATTATTAGGGTAACGCTACTTGTTACGCTAGTTTTCTGGTTATTCTCTTTTGACTTATTGATGAAATTTTGGTACATTCCGTGGGTAAATCGACTAGTTACCCTAGTTTACTGGTTATTCTCCAGGGACCTCATTCCAGAGCGAGATTTAATTATTATAAGGTTTCGTGTTTTAGAAACTGTTAGGGAAATTCTAACGCGAAATATGCCATAATTGATAAATTAGTCCATCAAGTTTTGGGACATTTAACTGAATATGATGTTTGTTTACTTCTTTGGATGGCTCTCCATGACGTGTTAGATAATTTACTACCTCCCATGATTTGTACTAAGTTTTACTGTTCAGTATACATTTGTGTTTCATTTAGATTATCAAAGTTCATGTGATGTTTATTAGATTGATTTGTATTAAATATATCACAATCTAATTTGCACTTGCTCCTATTATATAAGAATAATCAATAATATTTAAAATCGATTACGAGTTAATGATGAAATATTTATAAATATTTTATTGTTTATCCATTTGAAATGACCATGTGTAAATTGATAAACATGTGTAGTACTCAGCAATATTCACTAGTTCCGGAATTTATTTCTACTTCTGGAGCCGCCAACTATATATAGGCTGCCACTCTTTTGGACTCAAACTTATGGTAATTCCAAAAATTTTGTGAAAGTCAATAGAAGCTGCTTGAAATTTTGATACTTTATTTTATTGAAAATTTTATAGAACGATGTCATATCCAATTAAAACCATTAATTTGCTCTGTTACGTATAAGAAACATTTAAATGCTTTCAATCGTAACAGAATAAATTAAAGGTTTTTTGATTGGATATGACATCGTTTTATAAAAATTTTAACTGATGACTTGGGCGCGACACGATTTGTAGGCGCCTTCGAGGGTGACTGCAGTAATCATTATGTTGCCGGTTATTGTGCGTCCGCAGTTTGTGAGGGATAATAAAATAATTTATTCATAGAGCACAACTTGTTTATGTGATTCTACATAAATTTCGTCATATGCTGACTGTATTATATGAATATTTATCTCTGTTCGATCTCGTGCTGTTCGGATGACGAAAGACTTAGACGTAAGATGTTGTTGCAAGTACATTCTCTACGTAGAAATGTTTTATTCTCTACGTAGGAATGTTTTATTCTCTACGTAGGAAGGTTTTATTCTCTACGTAGGAAGGTTTCATTCTCTACGTAGGAAGGGAGTGTCTGAGTAGATGAAAGCTCTTCGCAATCGAAGTAGAATTTTCTTGTGCGTAGAGAATCACCATCATAACGATAAGGTAGTCGTTAGTCGTGCAAATATACAAGTCGTTTGTGTGGGATGACTTGCTCATCGTTATAAATTTACGCATTGATCACGTTTTAAACTCTAACATTGATCACGCTGTAAACTGCTACATTGATTACGCTATAAACTGCTACATTATTACTTTGAAACTGCAACACTTATCTCTTTAGTACCTTCAAAATTGATTACGCTATAAACTGCTACATAATTCACGTTACAAACTGCAACACCGATATCTTTATTAACTTCAACATCCATCACGCTATAAACTGCTACATTATTACTTTATAAACTGCAACACTGATCTCTTTAGTAACTTCAACATTGACTATGTTGTGAACTGTTACGCTGTTCATGTTATAAACTTCACAGCTATCATGCTGTAAACTGCTAATGTCCATGTTATAAACTTCAACATGAAAAATGTTGTTAACTTAAACATCACCTTGTAAACCATAACTTGATTTCGTTATAAACTTCAACATGAATTGTGTTGTAAACTTCAACTTTTATCACGAACTCACCGTCTTCAAGAACCGTTTGTATCGTTGTGGCAACGGCAATCGTTACTGATGTAAAGATTTTTTTCCATAACTTGATTTCTTTATAAACTTCAACATGAATTGTGTTGTAAACTTCAACTTTTACAACTTTTATCACGAACTCACCGTCTTCAAGAACCGTTTGTATCGTTGTGGCAACGGCAGTCGTTACTAATGTAAGGATTTTTTTACATTAGCACAAATCTGGTGCAGTAATAACGCGGTCATGATGTGAATAAATTAGTTTCTCCTACTAAATTAAACTATTTGTAACTGCGGACAGGTTTACGAGAAAAAGCATGCATGCAGCATGCTTTTTGACCGTTTTTACTTGTCAAAGTAACTATTCTTCTACCGAATTCCATCTCATCTCCCATTTAGTTAATGGTACGATTATTATATATAATAACGATCTCCGTTGCGACAACGATATTTGTTAACACTTTAAGTGCGGCTATGTGGTATATAAGGCGTATTTCATACCGGACTCAATGTATTTCATACCATACTTCATACCGCACTCGATGTGTTAACGTGACTGGTTTTGGTGAAAAGGAATATCTCTTTACCAGAAAACATCAAAACATCAACACTTTTTCTGAAGGTTTTGTCAGTTTTTTTATAAACCAGCAGTTATCGGTGAATTTCATTCAGGCTCTAAGTTTAAATCACGAATTTTCTACTTGTAAACTGCACCGGCCGCAAACTTCATGAATGTCTATCCCTTATTAATTTGTTCCATTTAGATAGTTTATGGCAGATTGTTATTACTGTAATAGTTCCATCTTGAACTTGGGCTAAATTTTGCATTGCTGTGAAGATATTCATCATATGTTGAATTCAATAGTGTTCAACTTCATCCAAATAATAATCTTGTTGTGAAATTTCGCTAACTGCCGTGCATTGGCACAACGTATTGCGATGTTTCGATAAAAATGTTTCATTAAATAATACACTACACAAAAATACATGTGTTTTATTTTGAATTTTTACATCCTGTGTTGAAACTAGTGTGCAAGTGTTGAATGTGTGGAGGCTAGTGTGCAAGTGTTGAATGTGTGGAGGCTAGTGAGCAAGTGTTGATTCATGGCTCAATGGATTTACGGTATCAACGATAACAACATCGGTAAGGGGAAACAATGAATTCAAAGTTACTCGTAGCGCAGATATATCATATTTACACAAAACGTTTTTACAAAACAGAAGTATAAAAATAACAAATCTTAGGAAACTGACGTGGTAAGAAGACGTTCAATAGAGAACACAGCCAATATGATAACAGAAGAATGATGAAGGAGGATAAAGCTATATACGAGAAGGTTATCCGCAAGAAGGTTAGTGTAAGAATGTTTATCGCACTACTTGTCGGAATAGCACCTGTGGTAAGGCCTAGCCAGTCAAGTTAGAGCACTTTGTCTCTGGTGTCCCTGCGATGCTGACTGAGCTATTATAGGCTGCAGTACGATAGTCTCAGGTACGAGTGAACATGGATTAGTGCTCTTCAATGTCTATGAATTATTGTATTATGGATTATTGAATTATCTTTCTGCATTGTTCATTTCGACGTGTATTTATTTATCATTTATTTGTCTCGTATGGACAGAGCGAAGTCCCTCTCCTCTCTGTAGTCTCTCTGTAGTTGAATAGTCCATTGATGATCGCGATTCTAAACTGTTGAGATTATTGAATATATAAAAACTTTTTATTTATCAACTGAACCCGACATAATCACAAAAAGTTTAGTAGCTTCTGCGATGGGTTTCCGTGGGGGCTTTGGCAATATTTTCTCTACGTGTCTGGTGCGGTAAGGAAAGGGTTACTTCGTCAGGCCTAATGTGACAGAAAATGTCAAGAGTTTCTATAAATTTGATCGTTTTTACAAATATAAGGCATTTTATTCATAATGAACAATTCGCAAAGAAAACTGCGTCTGCACCGCACCTTGCGTAATTAGTGTCGACTTTACAAGCAGTCCTAGCGTTTGAGAGATTCATGTAACCGCCACCAATTAATCACGAATCACCCACATAACACGCGAACCACCCTAGAACGGTTACTTATTTGTTTGGAAATAAGTCATGGTTGGAAATCATCTTGTCAACATCATCGATGTAGATGATGTCATTGGTTCCAGGTACATGATTGGATTTAGTACACGTCCAACCGACATATTGGTCTTGTAATGCGCGGGGAGTGTACAATAATTTTTCCCGATTACGCTTTGTATACGAGTCTAACACATGTATATCATGGGTTCACAAGGAATTTAAAAGCAAAGAAAACGCCTAGCAAATTCACCGTATCGATATTGAAAACGTTTTGGAGTCCAGCTCCATTCAACACTTGCACTCGTCAATGTGTATTTCAATATCGATATGGTGAATTTGCTTGACGTTTTCTTTGCTTTTAAATTCCTTAATTGTGAGCTTGCGATATAAGCAGACTGATAATATAAGTACTTATATCATGGGTTGAGGCGCTCCATGTCATCCGATAGGCCTACTTTCCAAACTCCTCAATAATTTGTGCTCAGCCTCTTCTTAGGTCAGCCATTGCTGTATCGCTGACGTGTCGCGCTGTGATTGGTCGGTGGGCGTAAGGCTGCGGGCCAATCAGGGACAGCAACACAGGCAGGAACACCAGCCCGTGGAAGAGGCCGTAGAGGCACACGCCGAAGAATACCTGGGGGTTGTTGATAAAAGAAATGCATTAAGTTCACCATTATCTTACTCTGGGTCCAGCAATAAACCTACCTCAATTTTTGGTATGGAATGATACCGCTGAATGGTATATCCATAAATACGATCGCCTCGTATGAGCGGAAAAAAGGCTTTCATCTCAAACTATCTATAGGAAAAGGTATTAACAAATCTTAAAGGCTTGCGGTTCGAGAAACTTCTATACTTCTTTACTCGATGTTGGACTCTGATCAATATTCAATAAAATATAAAATTTTATATACATATTTTATATACATTTCAACCGGGCAATCGCTCGCAATCCTTGTGTTTGTTAAACCGCCATGAACATGTCGGCTGAAATGAAGTATTTTCTACTCTACCAATGTATGTGGCGGTACACATTTGAAGAGGTTTATCATGTTTCATTTTAACATTTGAAAGAAACAAATAATAGGCTCAGGCATCATCTTTTCTCCGTTTGAATGTTGATGTATGTAGACCACTATATTTTTGTAATGCCTTGCAAGAAGGTCGCACCTGACGATTGAACTAAATCCTAAATAAATCGTTTTTTGACGAAGGCCCTGGAATCTTTTGTATAAAGTTGCAGAATGCTGCTTGAATGAGGTAATTAGGGTGAGAGATGGTATTCGAAGACTCCACAAGTTGGTTCCTTTAAAAGTGAATGACGAAACTCTTCATTGAAGTACTGACCTTAAAGAAGGTTAGGTTAGGTTAGGTTGGGTTAGGTAGGTTAGGTTGGGTTCGTGACCTAACCTAACCTATACCTAACCTAGCCTCTTAAAAAACGGATGGAGAAACTCTTCATTGAAGAACTGACCTTAAAAAATGTTTTGAAGACGTGAGAGTCGGATATGGCCAGGAAGATGAAGGCCAGGAAGGTGCTGAAGCCGCCATTTAAAACCGCGGGGCCGATGCGGGCGAGCGTCTCCCGCACGCGGGCGTCGCGGGTGCCCTGGCAGGTCATGAACACGTGACCTGCGGGGAGTGATCATGAGTCATGACCTGCGGGAGGTGATCATGAGTCATGACCTGCAAGAGGTGATCATGGGTCATGACCTGCGGGGAGTGATCATGAGTCATGACCTGCGGGAGGTGATCATGAGTCATGACCTGCAAGAGGTGATCATGAGTCATGACCTGCGGGAGGTGATCATGAGTCATGACCTGCGGGAGGGGATCATGAGTCATGACCTGCGGGAGGTGATCATGAGTCATGACCTGCGGGAGGTGATCATGAGTCATGGACACGTGACCTGCGGGAGGTGATCATGAGTCATGACCTGCAGGAGGTGATCATGAGTCATGAACACGTGACCTGCGGTGAAGACGAGCTTCGTAAAAACGTTTCTTTCGGGGATAAAGAGGGTCATGAATACGTGAAGCAAAACAAGGCAGGAAACTATCACCATTTTTGGGAGACAATAAATAATGCTCGATGGAAAAATAAGATATAAGATGAGATATGATTCATTATAACGTAAAGTTAGCACTAATCTATCTTCATTTGGTGGAAAATATTTCCAATACTCATACATCAGGTGAGTTATTACTTTCCCCTATATGAGCTCGTTGTCACAACATCCACAATACCCTATGACATGTAATTAATCACATGAGAGCGATCGTGGCTATGATGCCAAAATATCACGTCTTTTTGAACCGTTTAATAAAATTCAAAATTGTTCTATTGGCTTGGTTAAATGAAAGGAAGTCTACAATATTGCAGATAGCCTAATGTGATGGCTTCCTGTTACCTGTACCCACATATAAATGGTACCTTTACCAGCTCGGTTAATGAGAGGAAGTCTAAAGTATTGCGGATAGCTTAATCTGAAGGCTTCATGGTACTTGTACACACGTATCCGTACCTACCCTATAAAGTTTTAATGCCTGTCAGCCGCTGGCTCAAGGGCGCCCCAAGCTCGCCTAGCGGTATAATTAGCGGCTCTATGTCCGCTTTAGGTTACCCACGTAACCGTACCTAGTGGTCATGCCCTTTGGCATGGGTACGCAGCAATGCCCACATTCTCACGTACCCAAATGCGCAGCGTAGTCCACGCAGAGGCCGATGGCAATCACCATGTTGATGCTGGAGGCAGTGTCGATAGTGAGACCCCACCAGTGCATGAGAGCAAACACGTCCACGAGGGTCATGACCACGCATAGCAGCACCAGCAGGCTCTGCGGGGGTTATAAGGAGGTCATGACCTGTTAAGGTTAACCAGGTTAAGGTTAATCAGGTTAAGGTTAACCAGGTTAACCTTAACCAGGCTAAGGTTAACCAGGTTAAGGTTAACCAGGTTAACCTTAACCATTATTCGATGATACTCTAGGATGTTCATTTTTGGCAGCCTCCTACCTGGACAAAGGAAGCGATGAGCGCGAGTGTCACGAGAAAGACGGCGAGGAGCGCAAGCCCCAAGTTCTGGTAGAGCTCCTGCTCGATGATCTCGTCGATCTCCCAGCCACTGTGCGTGGGCGAGAAGGGGGCGACTACGCCCCGCAAACCACTCTCATGCGCTGCCACCTTAAGAGATTTCATCGCCGCGCGCTCCTCCTGCGTCGAGTTGAGTATGCGGTACCTGCACGAGTGACAAGGGCCTATACTTTCAAAAAAAGTTAAGAGATCGTAAGTTCATCAGCCAATCATTGGCGGCCTTTCAATCAAAATCCACCAATCCTAGATAAGAAAATACAGCGTAAGTACTTATGTTCACTAAGCGAGTTTTGAAAGTATGGCCCCAGGTAAGCAGTGAACGTACGGAAACCTGAAAGAGCCCTTCACCGGTATTCGCGACAGGTCCACCGCCAAATCTTGCCTGATTCTGGGTACCTCTTCCGTCATGCTCTTCAACCACGGTACTCCCTTTCAAGAACACGCATATCTATCTCCGCTAGAAGGCCACTGCCTCCAAGACTACTGGTACCTTGCGTATTCTGAAATCTTTGGTTACCATAAACTGTGGCATCTCCCACAGGACATAACTATTACCCACTATATAATCAAGCTTAAAATTTACGCAGTCCCTGTCTGGTAGTTTCTTACCTCATGAGCCACCGCTGAGCCAGGTAAACTCGTCTGAATAACTCTTCACTCTTCGTCTGAACACTCTCTTCGTCAGAATAACTTGACCTACACATGTGCTTGCCTGCAAATCATGATAAATTCGCGTCTGCCATCGACCCCAGCGCGTAATGCACTACTAATTCTACTAGACTCCTACTGATGAGTCTTCCTATCACCGATTACTTGGTATTTAACTGAAAGTTCAGCCCCTTTATCCATCCTGATCACTCGCCCTATACCTGAAAACGAAGCTGGATGCGGTGACGCGAGGTGCAGGACTGCCGCAGACCAGGTCTCCATCAAACACAAAGTTCCTGTCGCGGTACTTTGCTCCTGAGGGCGAGAAGAGGAAGGTGCTCAGGTCCTCCTGGAACGCTTCGTACGACTGCCCCTCAGGGTCGGGGACTGTGTACCCCTGGTCCTCGTAGTACCTGCCCACACAGCAGCATAAATTGTGGAGGTATGGAGGTATGAACAGCATGCGCATGTAAAATTGTAATAAACGCGATTAAAATGCCTCTCGTCCATCCTGTGGTCTTGTCAATGGACTGTAAAATCAGGGTACGCAAACAAAGATGAGAAGCAGCACAGGTATCAATACTAGAATGCCGTATAACGCCGTTCTAAGTAGCGAGGTCTTGGGTGTCAATGAACCAACCTCTTAAAGCTGGTGTACCAAGAGTCGATGAAACCAATGTACTGGTTCTGCTCTATGGTCTTCACGAAGGCTTCCAGTTCTGGCAGCTGCTCGTGTAGGCTGATGTTGCCGAGGTAAAATTCTCCACTCAATCCAGACCACGAGAAATACTCAGTGCGCTTCATGATGTACGTGTAAAAATTTGAGTTCTGTGGTAATAACCACACAGGGTCAAATTCCTGCTTTAGGTTAGAAAATCCCCAGCAAGAGGCGCAGAAAAGGGTTGCCGTGGCCAGCAGAACGATGACTTTGGACACCTTGTGGAGGAGGACTCGAGAGTAAACTCCCCCGAAGAATGTCTGGCACAAGTCACGTTGACTGCATTGGTTGACTTTATACGAGTCGCTGACTTTGTAACAGCAGATAATGCCATGCCTGCGGCTCTCGATCCTGCGTTGGTCAAATGTAAACCAAGCAACAAAGTAAGTTGCCTGGAAGAAGAACACGGCAGCTATACCAATGGCGGCGTACACACAGAAAGATCTTAAGGCAGGCAGCGATGTGGTGCTTCCGATGGCAAAGGCCACAATGTCGGTGGCAGAGGTAACTGTTATGGAGGCCCCAGCATGTTGCATGGCATATCCGATACGTACATTGAGGGGATGGCGCTTCTCTTCCTCACTGAGGTTGTTCCAGGACTGCATTATAACAAACATGTCGTCTATGCCTAATCCAAGTAATAGGAACGGTAGGATATTGTTGACCGGGCTAAAAATAAGTCCCAGCGCAGAAGCTAATCCGTAGCAAACTACAAGAGACAGCAGCACGGCAGTGATCCCGAGTATAGACAGGTACGGTCTCGTTTCTAGGCCGTTGAATTTGCCCAGCATGATTTGAATGTAGAAGAAGACGATCAAGTAACCTGGAATGATGTAACCGAGATCACGTTCGAGTGCATCGCGGCTTACTTTATTGAAGCTTCCAGCTGTCACAAAATAGAATGATGAGGTGGTGTACAGAGATGCGTTGAGGAGATTTTTTTCAAATGCTTTTTCCCAGTAGAAAGTGTCCACGTCAACCTCAGTTCCGGAACCGTAATCGTCTATGTACTTTCCAGGCTCTATCCTCTCGGGGTTGATGCGTGACAGCCAAGTTTGTGTCATGGCTTTGGCTCCGATGATCTTGCCAGACTCATCCCTGGTCACGCCTCCAAGATACCTGGCGTAGTTTGTTATTTGATAATTAATAAAATCTAGAATTTGATCAGGAAATTAGAAAAATACTGGTTTGCCTCAACGAATAAACAATGTGTATCCGATACTCAGCACAGGTTCTAAAAGCACACACTAATAAAATACTCTACGTAATACAAAAACAATAATGAAATACAATTATAAAATACACTAATAAAATACACTACGTAATACAAAAACACTAATGAAATAAACTAATACCTGGCAAAGTTTGTAGGCACTCCATACACTGCACTCGTCTGAGTTGAGTTAAGGGCGTCTATGATGTCTTGTTGTGTGAGGGACTCAATAGTGTTGCGGTCATAGCCCCAGATCTCCAAGATGCTCCGCTCAAAACACTCCATCTCCAGTTGCTCCAACAGCGCGCAGTATGCATCCCGATGCAGATAGCTGCTCCAGTCAAAGCCTGCTTGTCTCTTCAGTCTATTATCTTCAGGAACTTGTCTCTTCATTCTATTATCTTCAGGAACTTTTCTCTTCATTCTATTATCTTCAGGAACTTGTCTCTTCATTCTATTATCTTCAGGAACTTGTCTCTTCAGTCTATTATCTTCAGGAACTTTTTCACAGCTCTCCGTAACAAAAACACTCGCCAGAGAATCATAAATAGATGAAAATTCGTCAATGCCCAAGCTGAAAGCATCGGGGCCGTGAAAACTCAAATCCACAGGACCCTGACGTGGATCTCTGTGAACAAAGAAGACATCATCGCTCTTCTTCATGGTACGGGCATTGAGTGAATTATTGGCAGGACTTCTCTTCTTCCTGCCAAATAAAGTAGAGCTCATGATGGTCGGCAGCTTCGTGCAAACATCTTGCCACGTGACCAGCCTTACATTCGTGTCTTCCTTCACAGAAGAATTTCTGACATCGCTGTTATTGAGTGCACTTACAGAATTTTGTTTACCAGGCACCGCAGCCACCGTTGCGGTAACTGTTTCGTGCATGAATAGCAAGTCAAGAAGAACTTCTGGAGTTAGAACATTGTCTGCCTCATACAGAGATGTGTGAACTCTGTATTTGTTGGGGAAATTAGCCTGCTGCCACTCGGAAATCTTGACAAAGTCGGAGTCTTGTGGAATCCACAGCTTGAAGGGCCGTTCTTCAACTGTAATTTTTTGCAGCCCAATACCGCAAATGCCTGTCAATGCTAGGCAAATCAATATGGTTAAACATGGACGCGTGGCCACCGCCTTTCCATAGTGAAAAAATACACTTTCCAACGATGAGCTAATAGATCGACTGCATCTGCTTAATCTACTCTCATTTAGAGTGGTATAGTTAGATGATGCTGGTAAATATTGTTCTGTAAATAACGACTCTGATTGGCCAGCATCAAGTCTGTTACATGATGGCACCTCTGTGTCAGTCTTATTATTTTCCCGTCCCAAAGGGCGGTGATTGAGATAAAAATCCTGTGACTTGATTTTAGGTGAGACTGGCTGCAGGGAACACAGCCGCTCGGTTGAGTCATCTTCAGGGGCCGTTGACATCGTTGTTGGATTCTTTAGCCTCGGCCACCTGTGGAACACGGACGCATTAAAAAAACTGGTAATTTTCCAGCACGCGCAGGCGAAGTGAGCATGTCCATGTTGTCAACAAGACTAGCACATCAGCACGATATGAAGTATGTTTCTGATGTATATGTTCGTGTCATAATAATAATAATATAAATAATAATAATAATAATAATACCGGTTTCAGCGTTTAGTTGGCCGTAGGCCTGTCGCCGATTCTTAACATAGCAGAACATTCACAGCATTTTGTGGTCTCGAACTCGCAACTCACTGCTACAATTCTGCTTTGCTTAACCGCCCGGCCTCCTTGCCGATTCTGACCAGAAACTGGCGCACAGAGCTGGGATCGAACCCGCGCCTCTCTGCGCCAATCCTGGTACTCTGAACTGTAACCACTGGGCCACCCTGGGCCTGTTGAATAAATAGCGCTTTCGATGCAGCATTGAGTTACAGTCAGTGAAGTGCAGGTTACATGAAAAAAGTCATCAGATGTCATCAATATTTTCCCATTAACTTGAATGCTCTGAGAGCGGACTAGGAGAATACTGGAATTCAAGTTTGGCATGGGTCCCGCTAGGTAGCAGCAGCGCGCTGTAATTACTTATTAGTAATAGAATAGAATAGAATAGAATAGAATAGAATAGAATAGAATAGAATAGAATAGAATAGAATAGAATAGAATAGAATAGAATAGAATAGAATAGAATAGAATAGAATAGAATAGAATAGAATAGAATAGAATAGAAGTGTCGGCACTGAAGAAATAGGCCCATGGCCTGTTGCCGATTCTTGAACTTTTCGTGACTTGATTCACAAGGGATCCGGCCTTTGGAACCCGATCTTTCCATAGCTGACGATTGATTGAGATAGCTGCTGGACTTATTGCCTGCTCCGTAATTTGCTGGGCATTTTAAGACTGAACATATGCTCCTGAATAGCTTCGTAATGAATGAATGCACTCGTAATGAAAATGACGACAGAAGTTAGCACCACAAAAAAGGTTTAAAATTCCAGGTTTTGCGCAGTGATCGCTGGTAATAAATGCTGACCGTGACTTCCGTATACAAGATATGATGTTATCCACCTGTGCTTGGGACAGTACTGAGAAGCTAGTTGAATGTGTGAAGGCAAATTACTAAGCCGTGACAGCGTCTCTGAACTAAGGTATGTTTGCTAGTAGCCAACATATCCTAAATCCACCCTCAGCTTCATAATTCTCTCCGTGAGTATGCATATGAATTATGTGAATAATTATAATTATATTCTGCACGCTACACTGTTAGAAAAAACGGTGAAAAAACGGTCCCACTGGCGTTCTAGTGGCCGGTCGCCCCGTAAAAATAAACTGTTTTGCCGTCTTTATCAAATGTTTTACGGATTTCTGGTGTTAAATTAGAATGAAAACGGCGACACGGTGTTTCTTTTCACGTGCCGACCGGCCACTGAAACGCCGGTAATACCGTTAACGGTAATTTTTCTAACAGTGTAGATATTCTATTCTATTCTATTCTATTCTATTCTATTCTATTCTATTCTATTCTATTCTATTCTATTCTATTCTATTCTATTCTATTCTATTCCTTGTATTCTATATCTTTCAATATTTCATACAACTTTATCTAAAAAATATTGAAGGAAAATTTTCCCAATGACAACTCAAAAGTTCGTAGAAGCGACGCGGCAGCAGCATCCAGTCAGCAATAATATAAAAAAAATAAATTTCAGAGCTGAGAAGTTATTAACTTCCTACATAAATTCATCATTGATTTTGGAGCTGAAATTTTACAGTTTCAACAGAATTTGGAAATGAGATATTCCAAAAAAATCTTCATCTATACGTTTACAAAGACTTGTAACATTTGTTCAAATTAAACATTGTTGAATATAAGTTTTCAATTTATTTGTATAGAACCGTTATATTTTGAGCGTAAAAACTTTCGATCATTTAAAATATGCCTTAATGATTATATGCATAATGATAAACTACAATATTCAATAATGATTATAAACATAATGATAGACTTCAATATGCATTAATGATTATATTCATAATGATGGAATTCAATATTCACTAATGACTATATACATACAAAATAATAAGCTACAATATTCCATAATGATTATGTACATATTGATAAACTACAATATGCATTAATGATTATTAATGCATATTGATTATTATAATTATTAATATTGTATTATTATTAATGCATATTAATGATTATGTACATAATGATGGACTGCAATATTTAATAATTATTATTTACATAATGACAGATAACTTTTTACTTCTACTGTCATGGACTCCATATGCCCATATCATTGGATCCAAACTTGTCATAACCTTCACGAGAAAACATGGTTTTCATTTATGGTGTCCGAAATTTGCATACGTCAACTTCGTGTTCTATGAATTTTCACAAGCATAATTTTTCACGTACAGTTTTAGCGAATTTTCTCAATTATGGAAAAAATACACTATTGTGCTCGCCATGTCCGTCTGTCTGTCCGTCCGTCCGTCCGTCTGTCTGTCCGTCCATGACTTCACGTTTTCGTCGACGAGAAAATGCGCTCTCTATCACTCACTGCAGTGAGTACTGAGTCTCAGTTATAATATTTTACTTGTACCCTAGTTGGTGTTTTTCCTCTGAGGTGGCAGGTATTTCCATTCTAGAGATGTAAGTATTTCGATAGCAGAGCTTGAATTATATTTATGCCAGGGCTCCAGGTTTTAATATACCAGAACTCCGAGAACTATATGCGGTACCATATTAACTTCAAGTATTAATATACCTAGCACTTATTCAAGTATTTCTACGCTACAACTTCAAGTAATACTTTACCAGANAATCATAGACAAGAAAATAGAGCGTAAGTACTTACGTTCACTTAATCATAGACAAGAAAATAGAGCGTAAGTACTTACGTTCACTTAGCGAGTTTTGAAAGTATGGCCCCTGGATGACATAGTACCGTACTGGGGGGGGGGGTGACACGAGGGGGGGAGGGGTTACATCATGCTGCTCTAGCATATCTATTATACATTTCTAGCATAAATGTTCTATATACTTCTATATGTTTTTCATATATATTTAATAATATTTCATATTTCTTCTATATACTTTCCATATCAATTCTCTTGTCTACATATCTCTGATATTCAGTGTATATTTTATATACAGATGTATGTATTCATCTGTAAACAGTTATATACAGATGTATGTATACATTTGTTTACAGTTATATACAGATGTATGTATACATCGGTTTACAGTTATGTACAGATGCATGTATACATCTGTATACAGTTATATACAGATGTATGTATACATCTGTATACAGTTATATACAGATGTATGTATACATTTGTATACAGTTATATACAGAAGTATGTATGCATCAGCATACAGTTATATATAGATGTATATATACATCTGTAGAAAGTTATATACAGATGTATGAATACATCTGTATAAATAGTGTAGTTAGGCAGAAGTTCTTCATTTATACAGGTTTGATTGAAGACCAGAGCGTACTTTTTATTATATTATATTATATTATATCATATTATATATATATTAGTTATATATTTGTATATGTTGGCAAAATTTTTTCCTTTAAGCAGTTTGCATTGAAGACCAGAGAATTCGTTTTATTGACAATTTTCTTGTTAGTTTTTTCAATTGATCGAACAAGATTTTTCGTTTGCACGGGTAAATTGAAAATCAGTTTACCGAAAGACATTTTTATTTCGTTACGACGTTTCGAATGTTTCTATCATTCGTTATCAAGTTAAAAGGCGCATTGAGTGATAGAATTTGGGTCGACATAAGTACAAAATCAATTAAATAGGATACTACTCAAAAATCGAAATTGTTAGGAATAATTACAAAATAACAAAAATAATTAAGAATTAAAGCACCGAAAATTAATCCAAAAACATATAAAAAAGCTGTATATACAGTTATATACAGACGTATAGTTTTATGACTGTAGCAGTCCACTATCGTCAACAGTTTCAATCTTGAAACAACCTACCGATTATATATACGTTACGTGTTATTCACAATTTTCATTCTCTCCATTGTATGATCATGCCTTCATCGTCATTTCTCAGCATGACATGAATATTTTCATTAAATTTCCACGATAGAGCAGTGTATCGTATCAGATTCAGTCACTCTCCAGCTCAGCCAGCAGCGACAACCTCCC